AGGCACAATCTCAATGGAGCTGTGCAGTGCACTGAGCTCTCAGTCCGTTTAGCCTGCTGGAGGCTCAGTTGATTATTGGGTCGCTCTTCCAGTTTGGCTCCAAAAAGCAGATTTATGGCAATAGAACACTGAGTGATATTGGCTGATTGTTTAAGAGGTCCTTGTGTGGGACCACCGTTTTTGTCTCTCTGCCCATTTATACTGACTGCTGCCAAGAAAGAAATTTATTTTTTGTGCCAGCTTGCAAACACACAGGAGATGTAGCTTGCACTGCAGGGATAAAAGCTTCAGATGATTTGACTTGAGCCTGACTCTTAGTAGACAGTTTTCTGTGTGTTCTCCAACACCTCTCTGTATTCGCAAAAGTACCACTTTCCAGCTTCATGCCCTCAAGATTTTCGCTGTTTTGAATTAAAAATACATGAGTCTGAATATAGTGTGTTACAGCTTACTTTGTCATTCAGCCATGGCGAGAGTGCAAGTGGTTGGCGTTGAGCGGTCTGCCAGGAAGAGATTGGCTGATGTGGGGTTGTCAGAGGAGCAGACAGGTTCACACTTGGGTCGTCTAGAACGGACACATTTGAAAATACAAGAGAGAAATGCTTACTAGCTTGTAAACTCAAGGTGGTTACCTTGATAACATAGAAGCAAAATTCATGCTTACGGCTGGTAGGATTGCTGTGGCAAATAAAGCTTTGACTATTACCTCGGTATCTCTCTCTGTGCTGCTTTTGGTAAAACTGGGAATTATCAGGATCCAAAGATAAACAAAATATATTTAGTGGTATTCAGCTGATTCATTCAGTTTTACATTAAATATTCTTTCTAATACCATGTCCTGTCACAATTTTACAAGCTTCCTCAGATAGCATTTTATCAGACCTCAGACCTTTTTTATGGTTTCCCTTTCATGTTTTTTGTCAATATGTTTCTTTCACAATCAGTCCTCTCCTCCATATTTGAAAATGAGTGAGGTCTGGGGTGGGGTTAAGAATTGCGCTATAATGACCCCTACAAATACAACTCATTATATACACTAA